ACAGAAATTAAAATCACCCGGAGTTTCGTCTTGCTTGAAAGCATACTGCTCGTATTCACCAAACGATTTGAATACTCTAGAGAGCGCTGCTTGGGACTCTGCCATGGATAGTGAAGATAATAAAAATTTTATGTCCAACGATGTATTTACCGGGTGTATCCCTCTAAAACATTTATTCGGATTCTGTGAAGACTATAAAAAAATATTACTTAATTGTAATCAGCAACTGATTTTAAATCGTGCATCTACCGACCTTGATGCGATACACGTTGTTGGTGCGGGTGCGACTGCAGCCGTTGACAAAAATAAAAAAATTAAAATTGACCTTACTAAGGTGACTTGGAAGATGCCTATTATCAAAGTCAGTGATAAAGAAAAATTAAGACTGATAAAAGTAATAGATTCACATAGAACACTGTCGTGTGCGTTCAGAACTTGGGACCTGTGCGAATATCCGATACTTCCTAGAAATACTTCTCATTCGTGGACGGTAAAGTCTAGTAGCCTGCTAGAAAAACCGAGATTTGTACTGTTTGGGTTACAAACAGATCGAAAAAAAAATATTGAAAACGATGCTGGGCGATTCGATCACTGTCAACTAAAAAACCTTAAGGTCCACTTAAATTCTGAAGTGTATCCGTACGAAGACTTTCGTGCAGATTTTAAAAATAATACAACCAGTATTTTGTATAAGGCCTATACAGACTTTCAAAAATCGTATTATGAGCGAGATTATTGCGAGCCATTATTATCAAAACACATTTTTCAAAACTACGTCCCAATCGTCGTAGTTGATTTATCACGTCAAAACGATAATGTGAAGTCGTCTACCATAGATCTACGTATTGAATTTGAAACGGATACAGTTATTCCAGAAAAAACTGCAGCATATTGTTTAATACTACATGACCAGATTATAACTTACAACCCGTTTAGTGGCGATGTTAGAAAATTGTAAACCTTGTAAATATTTTTTACCTTATAACTATTTTATACCTTGTAAATATTTTATACCTTATAACTATTTTGTGCCTTATATTCTAATAAATGAAAAAACTTGTTTTAAGTATCACGCTTGTTTTTATTTCACACAAATTATTTAACTCCATACAAATATTAAAATAGTCGTCGCTTAACATTACGTACTGGTGCTGGGTGTTCGGCAAATGTTGGTTTACATGGTGTTGACGTATAAGTCGGATTAAAGTAGGGTGTTGACGTACCAATCGGATTGAAGAAATCCGATCCATCATTTACGTCGAATGGTGGGCTTGCAGGTGATTGTAGTAGTCGACGCTTCACATTGCGTACTGGTGCGTTGTGTTCGGTAAATGTTGGTTGAGACGGTGGTGGCGTAATGAATTGAGAAGGTGATAGAGTCCTGAATTGGCGGAAAAAATCTGGTCCACCATTTTCATCACAAGGTTGACGGCTATGAGTCTCATCTGGTACTTGTAATAGGTTACCAATAGACTGGAAAAAAAAAAATAAATATTGTTTTTTTTTTATTTAAAAAAAAAAAGTTTATATAAATTACCTCTGACTGTCTAAGTGTATCGCATCTGAGTGGCAGATCGTCATGTAAGCTAGATATAGGAGAAAAGGTTGGCGATATCGGGGAATCAATTTCACCATTCTGCGACTAAAAAAAAACTTGTATTAAATATTTTTTTTATACATATAATAATATATTTATGCATTACCTCATGCGACATCCGGTTTAACACAGATTCTGCTAGTTGAACAGTTGCGTACATTTGAATTTGGGTGACCATGTTTGGGTAAGTTTTTTCTGTTCGTTCGTCTTTTAAGTTTTTGATGAATATTAACATATCTTGCAAATTTTTCGGTGGTGATTTAAGGCGAGCACATTTCTCATATATGTACGTCGCAAACTCCTTAGACTGTTTTATAATTAGCGGAGTGGTGTATACTTGTTTCCTCACAATACTTTCGAAAATACCACATTCAAGATATTGAAGCCTAATAATGTCTGCTCGATTCAATAGTACTCTACAACCGTCTTGAGTTAATGATTCAATAACTAAGACATTTTCTTTGCAATACACCATACTAGATATTTTATGAAATTCTGTCTCAAGAAATATAAAGCGCTTGTACTTCAGAGGTGTATCTAATATGAATGATAAGATATGCCCCATCATAGAGAATATACGTCTAAGAAAATCTGGTGGTATATTTACATGGCGAGATGATGTTAATAAATGAACGGCGACTTGGAAATTTTCAGATGGGTCAATACCAATGTGTACAAACTTACGGTTCGTAAAGTCGAGCGTGTAGATTGTGGATTCGATGAGTTCAGCAGGCGGTGTAGGTGGCACATAAGTGAAGGTCTTCTTTTTGTTTAACGCAGCGTTTTCTTCGATTGATCCAGCCATGTTTAAACTCACAAACAATTTTCAGAGCGAGCGAAAAAATATACAAACAATTTTCAGAGCGAGCGAAAAAATATACGTGAACAACGGTTAAGGGCAGTAGACGGACTAAACGATTGCTGACTGCCGAGTCGTCAGATGTCTCTAGAAGTTTAACAGGTGGGGGAATTTTACAGTGCGCATGCGTACGATAGGTGCGGGTGTAGTCTCTAGAAGTTTAACAGGTGAGGGAAATTTTAGTGCGCATGCGTCAGTGATAGGGGATGTATACTAATAGCCGGTGGTCATCTGAACGATGCGCATGCGTACGAAAGGTGCGGCGGCCGATGATGGCAGGGAAAAGGGTGGCGGGGAAAATATACATGTCGCACACGTGAGCAATGTGCCGCCGGTGGTCAAAAATATAAGTCGCGCACGTACGCGAAGTGCGGCGGCCAATGGTCAGAGGGTCAGAAGGGTCAGAAGGGTCAGAGGGTCAGAAGGGTCAGAAGGGTCAGAGGGTCAGAAGGGTCAGCGGTCAGAAGGGTCAGAGGGTCAGCGGTCTGAACATACCAAATCATACTACTAATATTGCACACGTCCAAAAATTTATTCCTTAGTTCTAAGCACCCTCTTCGTAATATATCAACGTCCGAATGACAATATTGTTCCAACTCATTTTTGAAATTAAATACATAATTTTTGCTTGTCATCTCGTCATACCAATTTATGAATGCTGCTCGCTGTTTTCTCGCCATGGAGTTATAACCGTAATAATATTTGTCCGGTAAAGGCCCTATTTAATTTTGATTTTCGGGAGTGTTGAAATAATGTGGAAAATAACCTTTTTTTGATTCCGTAAGTCCAAATGTTTTCGGAAAGTCCGCTAGCTTAGACTGTACAAAATTATGGCTGTCAATAAATTTTATATTTAGGCCCCCTTCTTTTATTTCAAGCATCATAATTTTTGTTCCGTTCCGAATTACTTCATACTTCACTGTAGGCATATGTTTTAAAATATACTGAATTATAAAATATGTATCATATGCTTTTGAATTATGTGCTATATATGTTGTTCCTTTCTTTTCTCTACTAAGTGCCCATTTACAAAATTTATCATTGGCCGAACCCCAGTCATCAGTAGAAAATACAAATTTGTTTCCTTCAAAGTCGTGAGCGATAGCCATATTCGGTATGTGCGTTCCTGTGTTTTGTTGCGCTTCATAATCGAAAAATATATAATTGGTAGTGAAAGTACAGCCTTTCTGTTTTTCTGTCGATTGTTCGTTACAAACACAGGCTTCCACACAATAGCCTCCTTTTCCTATTTTCCGTTGCATATAACATTCATGTTGACATAATTTGATATTTTCCTGCTTACAATTATGACATTTTCCAAGTCCGCAAACGCTGTTGTGCGTGATGTCGTTCCTCTGTACGATTAAATTACATCCACCACATTTATATTCTTTATCGCAAACTTTTTTATGTTTTCTCAAACATTCAATATCAACACAATAACGGTCGCACTCTTGGCAAAAAATGTTTTCTTTTCTAAAGTCTTGGATGTGATAGTCTTCGTTACATAGATTACACTTTAGCCCTGGTCCTTTTTTACAGACGTGCTTAGTTTTATTATTATACCCCGTATCACATAATTCACAATAGTACACACGCTCCATAAATGATGACATGGAATAAATCGTATTAAAATGATCATTTTTTTTTAATAGGTAAATCTTAATTCTATTTTCTTTACCCGAGTAGTCAATTTCACAAAAATTATCAACATTCACGACTTTTACTTGAATGTTTAAAAATGTTTCTATATTTTCTATATCGTGGTATGTAAAAGGTCTGTTATCATATATTTCTAATTTTTGACATAGTTCTTTTGTGAAACGTGTTTGAATATTATTTCTACCATGCCGTAGGTCTTTTATTTGGCTATCGGTTAATTTATGTCCCAATATAACGTTAGTCTTGTACGATAATCCCACTATAATAGCACGGGGGCAACACAATTCATCTTCATTATTAATTTGAATTACACATTTTTTGTTTTTGGTAAAAAGATCCAAGTATTCCCAAGATGGTTTAGGTTTGCCACCTTTAGGCATTATAACCACTTGAAAATTGAATACCGTTTCGTCAATATTCACAGATTGATCCGATGTTAATATACTACAAATTTTATTTAAAATTTTCCGTCCTGTTGATCGATTCTGTAACTCGATAAGATCTGTTATCGACAATTTTCGGTTCGTTAAGCTAACGAAACGACTACTATCGAAAAGTTATCAATAGAGTGATTCTGTAACAATTTTGTAACGAATTTTATCGATAAGTATCGAAAATATTCGATATCGTATCGGATGGTTAGGATTGGCCGTTACGCTTATCGAATCATAAAATATATTATAATTTATCATTATCAATTATCACACCTTCACATCGACATCTTTCATACTTTCACAGTTTCACACATTTAATTTACCTATAGTCGTTTAATTGGATATATCGTTAAAATACAAATAAAATAATTATAAATATTTATACCTGCTCTTGTCTATTGTTATTTTTTGCATATTTAGTTTTAAAAGTTGTTTATACAATAATATTATGGCTGAATATTATCTTGGTTGGGAATTGTTAGAGTTGGAAGAAAGGGTTAGGATGTTAGAGAGGAGAGTAGAGAGAAAAGTACTCAGAGATACTCAAAATCCATATGATCTACCAATAAACGAATTCATGAACACATTCAGAGTTAGTCCAGAACTTGCTATGGACTTAACAAACAGCATTCGTGATTCACTTCAACGTGAACGTAGTTCAGGACTTCCAGTTGAAATTCAAGTAATTATACAATTTTAGATATATTTTAACCTAAGCATTGTTATATACAATTATAAATGTGTTAAATTTTTACACTTGTTTATTTTTAATTAGATACTAATGTACCTATTGAATTATTACAAAATTAATTAGTCCATAAAATATACACTGTTTTTGTTATTTGTACAATATTGTTGTTTTGTTTTTCACACTTAGGTTTTAGTAGTGGTGAACTTCTATGCAAAAGGTAGTTACCAACGAGCTACAGGAGATAATTTTATTGCAAATGTTAGTCAGTCCTCGGTCAGCAGATGCATACATAGTGTAACCAATGCTATAATTCAAAAACTATTGAGGCGTTGGGTTCGTTTTCCAATGACAGCAATTGAAAGGGACAGGGCTCGAGAAAAGTTTTCAAATGCCCCACAAGCTTTCGAAGGTGCTATTGGATCTATTGACTGCACACATATAAATATTCTTGACCCAAAGAATCATGAAGAAGCATACGTGAATTATCATGGGAACCATTCTCTAAATGTTCAAGCGGTATGTATAGAATAATATTAATTGTGAAACACAAATAATTTTTGAAATTTTAATTTTAGGTAGTTGATCCAGAGTTAAAAATATTAAATATTAACGCCAGATTCCCAGGTGCAAGAAATGATTCTTACATATGGAGTGTTTCTCCTATACGGAGGGCTATGGAATTTCATTACAATAGGGGTGAAAGATACACATGGTTAATTCGTACTAATAATATTAAATAATTATTAACACTAACTATTGAATTATATGAGTTGTAAAAGTGTTCATGATTATTTCAAGGTGATGCTGGTTATCCTCTTGAGCCTTGGCTTTTAACACCACTAACGCGTTATCCAGAAGGGACACGACAGTATCAATATACAAAAAAACACTGCAAAGCCAGAAACATTGTAGAAAGATTTTTCGATGTATTCAAAAGTATGTGGAGATGCCTCTCATATCAACGTGTATTGATGTATGCACCTGTAACTGCTGGAAAAATTGTAAATGCATGCGCAGTTATACATAACATGCGTGTTCATTATCGTCTTCCTATTCTGCCTTTCGAAGATTGTATTGAACAAGATTCAGTTGGAGGAAATAATAGAATTAATGAAAATAATGAAATTGAAGATAGAAGAGGACCAAGGGTGGTTGCAATGAGAATACAGAAACAGTTAATGGCAAACTGGTTCCCTAATTATGTTGATGGTGATCAATAATAATGTATCATACATCAAATACCGGGGCCGGCGTTGTGTATTCACTATAAATATAAGTTCGCTGAATCATTGTGGGGCTCTAATTGTTATGTTGCCATATTTGTATAATATTTCTGTTTCATTTTTTTTGTTTAAATAATTTTGTATAAAAATTAAAAAAAATTGGTTGAACTCAACATGAATGCGAAGTTAATTATTATAAATTCTCTATGAACATAATTAACTTTTAATGAATTTCTAACAAATACTGAAATGCCATTTAATTTTGTTCAAATTTTGTATTAATAACAAATCAAAATAGGTACTTATTTACCACAACAACATTTTTGAAAATAACATAACTACTAAATATTTACACAATAGTAACATAATAAATGCATGTAATAAAATAAAATAAAATAAATCGACTTCTGAAGCAAACAAAATAATAATAATACAGATTTATATACATAATACATATATATACATATATATATCTGTTAACATTAAGGAACTACATTTTTTCGACTAACAGTTTCATAACAGACACCATATTCTCCTCGTTTGTTAATCTCCGTTCATCATTTTCAGCCATTTTATTCATAGCACTTGCCAACTGAGAAATAGATAGACTTATATTCTGAAAAAGTAACAAAATCATCATAATCATTAAAAGAATATCTACATACAAATACATTTATTAATATTTACATCCATATGTTGTGCATTTCTTTCAGCTAACTTAGTGAATGTGTCTCTTGCATCTCCCAATTGGGTTAGGTTAGGTAAAGTTGACACAGGAATTTCAGGTTGATAACTTGAAATCTGAGCTGAATTTGGAGTTGCAATTGTAGATTCATCTTGCTCATCATATTCAATAATGTATTCATTGGCAGTTTGATTTAAATGATCAAAAACAACTAACAAAAACAAACAATTACATTTTTAACAAATTGTATTTAGTTATATAGTAGGGGAGAGTGTTGTGCCTTGGACCACATGTACCTTGGTCTTATATTTATTTCTGCCTTTATAAATGGTAAAGAATTAATTCGAGGAGGAAATTATAGTCGCTAGTTCTATGACATTGAAATATATTCAGTTAGAACAAAAAAACCACTGATGAATTTATAGTAAAACAATTTAATTTCACCTATCAAAATAACTATTTTTGGTTTTTTTAAATCTTCAACATTTAAATTTGTGATAGAAGTTATTAAGGTTAGTGCCATTTTCCGTTAAATATTTTGAAATGACAATTTTAAATGGTGTTAATTCATACAAAAAAGTTTTATTAAGGTCTAAAAAAAAAATTCATTTTTTCCAAATTGGTAGGTATGCATGTACTAAATAATTTGTTTTAAAAAAAAAATACTCATGTATAGATTTATCATATCTACAATAAAATGGTCCCAAGGTACAACACCCCTAATTAATAATTATTTTTAAATTGTTTACTTTCATTATCAACATGAGCTCTAATTGGTATAGGCTCGGTTTCTAGTATGGAATGATCACCTGCAGCTAAACGTTCAACATCATCACACTACCATAAAAAATTTACATTATAATAAACCCATGTACCTTTTTTGTGAAATATCACTATTTCAACAATTATAATTCATATTTTAATACTTGATCGTCTGGAAATGAATCAGGACAAGTTGTGCCTTCTACATATTCATAACCCATTAGACCGAGAACTTTGTTCTCCCTGTCAGTCAACTCCGGAATGTTTATAGCCTTATTCCCAGTCAGTCTTTTAGCGTTCCGGAGAGCAGAATGTTGTTTGGACACTTTAGTCTTCAGGTCCCTCCATGACTATAATATAACAAAACCCTTTAAAAACACATTGTATAATTTATACAATACAGCATAAAAATTATGGACACTATCTTATGATTTACATTTTTCTATAAGAGAAACACTTACAAGTTACAATTTGCTATCATTTAATTGAATACTAACCTCTTTCCACGATTTCACATCCTTCTCCTTAACCCCCTGTTTTCGCAAATTATTTAAATTCACAACTAAATCATCCCATGAACCTCTCAAGTCATCCCTTCCGTGGACAGAATTAAATTTTCCTGTGGCTACATGTGGATGCTGGACCATGTAGTCAACTAAAAAAGATAGTTGTTTTTCATTCCTTCTTCCCTGCCTTGATTTTTTGCAGTTCTGAACTTGGCTACTGTGTGACAATGAATAATTCAATATTTATGAACAATGCAAATTAATACATTAAACAAATAACTAAACGATTATTTACCTGCTTTGGGTATTTATGGTATCCATTTGTTATATTTATATTTACAATTTATTTAAGTTACAAAATGAAAAACGTTAAGACAATAACTTTCAATTTATAAATTATAATAATATATTAATATATTTATATAAATATTCAAACAATGAAAATCAGTTAATGATAACGAAACCGATGGTGATAATGATAAAACCAGATGTTTAAAACTTGAGGTTCTCATTGGCTACAGTTTACAATCTCCCGCTGAATAATTATTTCATATCGAAAATTCGATAACCTTTTATGTATCAATGTTTGTCGATAAAGAGTTTTATAGAATCGCAACTTTGATAACGATTTTCGATACATTTAGTGATACTCATTAACGAATTCTTATCGATATTATTCGATACATTATTATCGACTTACAGAATCGACCTACTGAGACATTAGACGTCATATTGCCTGTAGATATTGGTGAAAAAAACTTCGGATTGTCTGCGTGCAAGTTAACAATATCACCATCAGTGAAGTTTGTAATTTTTTTAATATTTGATATCATATTTTCTAACCCATCCTCCAATAGTGCATTTAAACTAACTATATCTAAACTCCCCGGTACAGGTTTTAATGTAATACTATAATAAATACTATAATAATTAATCATATAAGCATTGTACTTTTTTATAAATCTATTTTTCTTATTATGAATTTTAATTCTTAATCGATTCTAACAGTGAAGTTTCAGCTGCTGATTCTGATAGTTTTGCTTTTTTTGCCCCGACTTGTGTGTCAATGTGTACACGCTTACCTAAAAAATACACACAAATATAGTATAAGCATTTCATAAAAATTTTAATTTAAAATACTTTGGGTAGACGGTCCGGCTGGAATATTCTCCACAAAAATGTTGGTGGCTACTTCAAGCGTATCCTGTTGTTTGGCATTAGCTAAAAAAAAAATTTTATATTTTTATATGTATCTATGTAGTATATAGAAGTTTATCATGCTCTTACATAATTCATTAGCTTCAGTCTCATCCAACAATTTAACACATAATTCATCGTCACTGTCCTCGTACATTATATTATTGTCATCTAATGAAAACAATAAATATTTTTATTTTTGGCACTAAACATATAAAATGCATCATACTTTTACATAAATCATTATTTTCGGCCATATCCAACAATTTAACACACAATTCATCGTCACTGTCCTTGTACATTATATTATCTGAATTTGATTCTAACAGTGAAGTTTCAGCTGCTGATTCTGTTAGTTTCGCTTTTTTTGTCCCGACTTGTGTGTCAATGTGTACACGCTTACCTAAAAAATATACATAAATATAAGCGCTTTTATATTGTTATATGTATTTATGTAGTTTATAGAAGTTTAATATTATAATACCCAATTATAAACAAATATATAATTCTTACTTATAGTTACAGGTAATGCTACTGGTACTACTGTTACTGTGGGCTGTTCATTAATCTTTAACATACCTAAAATGGAACAATACTCTATTATTTCAAACTTGAACACCGATATCACTATAACAATTTATGGTGCACTTAATGTCATAAAATAGTTGATTTCTTTTAAATATCGTAGAATGAACGTCATATTATATTGACACGACAACTATGTACATACATTTGCATATACTAAACTCCTTAAATACAATCAGAATGTCTTAACACGTATGCCGTGTTATCTAATGATAATAATATAATATTCGTATGACTATAAAAGTAAACGAAAAACACGGGAAACAGAAACCGAATGCAACAATTTGACTGCACGTTCTGAATAGTAGCATCTACAGCCGTATAATCGTATTTTCAATACCTAATGTAGTGTTGGCGGTGGTGTGCTAGTCTTATATATAATGATGAATTAATTACATTTTTTCTTATACAAGACTAATATTTGTACGACTATGAGAAAACCACACGACTACCATAACATTATTATAGCTTATGACATTGCAAATATTATACTGAAAAAAAATGTACTCACCGTGAATACTTTTCATGTGCCGTTTTAGAGCATCCTTTCTGCTAAAAAAATTGCTGCAAATAAAACACTTAATTTTTTCAGTGTTATTGTGGCACTTTAAATGTCTTAATAAAATGTCTTTCCGGGAGAAAACAGATACACATTGATCGCACTTAAACATTTTAAATATAACGATAACTGGGCTGTGACACACACACACACACACAAATGACTGTCAGATCGTTACTAACGCTTATGACAATGGCCAAGCCGAATAATAATAATAATTTTTGCACACATTTCAAAATTCAACGTTTCAAAGATTTTTGCTAAATGCTGTCTTATCAATTTTATACCCCCACCCCACCCCGTATGACAATGTATTTTTTCTCTCATAGGTACCCATGATCAATCTCAGTGTAGTGCTTGTACATTTCTGAACGCACTTACTTAAAACAATTATTTTAGCGTTTTATAATTTCTTTTTAAAATGTCATACAACAGCAGTCCAGAATCTACCATCAACACGCAGGATATTTCAACAGGGTTTATTGAATTTTTAGCAAATGGCGAGTTGGATGAAATGGTACGTTTAATATTATGTATATACTTTTATATAACTAAAAATAATAAATTTTGTAGCTATCAAATACACCGAGACGGGTATATTACAGCAATTTGTTAAGCCCGGAAACCATTTTAGTTGACGAAGTTAGTATGACATAATATTGTATAATATTGTAGCACTTACCTTTCTGACGTTATATTATGT